ATCAGGCACCCAATCTCACCCTGAGCCCCCTACAATATCCATTTTTATAACCTCTTTTTCATTTCCTTCCTTGCAAGCCCAAAGTTATCTACCTGCTCAGCAGAATGAGAAACCTCTCTCATAGAAGGATCTCTGATACATGTGAAATGCTTTAAATATGTATGAGGATATGTACCAAAACGCTATCAGAGATTATCAAAAAGTGGTGAATATTCTTTCTTATTTTCCCACAATGTGGTTTAAACATATTACTCAAGTCATAAAAAATGGATGTTTTTTGAGAAATTTCAGGAGGAATTTTAGTGCAAAAAAAAAATCTTGTTTTGGAAGACTATCTAAGCACATATGGAAATATTTATGATGTATTGACAAGTGGAAAAAATAAGACACAAAATATCTATGGTTTGATCCCATTTTATTTTTGTCACATTTTACATATTTTTTTTTTTTAATTTCTGGGTATTTCTGTGCCTTGCAAATACTGGTGATTTTAGTTTTCTTATTTGTGGGTCTCTGCTTTGTAAGTTTTTCCAGTGAACATGTCTTGCCTTTATAATTAGAGAAAAATCTTAGATTAAAAGTAGAAATAAGAGCGTCTCTGGGAGACAAAATTGAGTAGAGGATTAGGGAAAACTTCCAGCTTCACCTTTAATAGGTGTGTGAGCTAGGCAACTCGCTTAAACAGGAGTCTGGGTTGCCTTATAGAAAAGTCAGGGATAATAACGTACGACTGTCAGAACTCAGTGAGATGATATTTGTAAAGCAGTTGATACTTACCAAAGGGTAACTGACATCACCACTATCTCAGCCATTCCATGATTCCTTGAGTAGTATCTGTGCACTGAAATACTGCTGCTGAGCACCTACCAAGAGCAAAAATTCTTTACCTTGCTCCCCGCCACTCACCTACTGTCCCACTTTGCACATCTCCAGCGTCAGGGGGCTCCCTTTTCTCCCAAAACTTCCCCTTCACACTGGCCTGTCCTACCTGTTTGTGGCTATCATTCAATCTTGAGAACGGTTAGTCCAAATATTTAAATCCAAGGCCTAGCTCTGTCCCTTGGGAGCTGTATGACCTTGGACAAGTCCCTTTGCCTCTCTGGGGTTTGGTGAGCCTCATCTGTGAGGTATGTTGATTTGCATTTCTCTGATGAGTAGGGTCGATGAGCATTTTCTCATGCGTTTGTTGGCCATTCGTCTGTCTTCTTCAGAGAAGTTCCTATTCAAGTCTCTTGCCCACTTATAAATGGGACTGTCTGCTCTTTTCTTGTTGATTCATCCGAGTTATCTGTAGCGTCTAGTTATCAGTCCTTTGTCAGGTTCATGGCATGCAAATAGCTTCTCTCATCCTGAAGATGTTCCTCTGTTTGCTTTGGTTCTTGCACCCTCGGCTGTGTGATGTGAGGTATTCTGAGCAATCTTTCACCCTAGAATTACCTTGTCTCTTTGGCTTTGGGGATACATCTTGATGACTTAAGAAGTTGGATACATGCTTAGCTGAGGGTCTGTTCAAACACCAGGTGGACACGGCTGCGCATGTGTGAGTTTTATGTTTCAGGGAACTATCTCGTGTGTTGCTCTTGGCTTCAGCCCTCAGAAGGCCAATGGCTGCCTCTGACATGATGCACTGAGAGAAACACAGCATCCCTCTGTCCTATTCCTGCCAAAAACCCAGAAGCTGAATCCAATCATAACAAAACACCAGACAAACCCAAACTCAGGGACATTCCACAAAATAACTGGCCTGGACTCTTCAAAAGTGTCGGTGTCATGAAAAACCGAGGAACTGCTCTAGATTAAAGGAGATCAAAGAAACGTGACGACTGAATAATGCATGATCGAGAATGTTCTTTTGCTCTAAAGGACTTCATTGGAAGAGCTGGTGAAATCTGAGTAAGTTCTCAAGATTAGACGGTAGAATTTTGTCAATGTTAATGTCCTGATTTTATACTCACATTGAATGTGGTTACATAAGAAAAGTGCCTCTGTTTTTAAGAAACAACCTATTGAAGCATTTTGGTACAAAGGAGCATCACGTCTAAAATTTACTTTCAAACACTTTGGAAAAGATGTATACCAGCCTAAGCAAGAGAGAGAAAAATTAACCGGGTGCCTGTAGTCCCAGCTATTCAGGAGACTGAGGCAGGAGGATTGCTTAAACCCAGGAGTCTGAGGTTGCTGTGAGCTAGGTCAATGCCACAGCACTCTAGCCCGGGCAGCAGAGTAAGACTTTGTCTCAAAAAGAAGAAAAGATGTATATTGTATTTTTTAATATATTTAGAGAGGCCTAGGCAACAGAATAAGACTTTGTCTAAAAAGAAGAAAAGCTGCATATTATATTTTTTTAATATATTTAGAGAGGCAGAGAGAAGGTAAAGGTGGTAAAATGTTAATATTTGGCAAAAGCTGGGTGAAAGGTCTGTAGGAATTCTTTCTACTATTCTTGCAGCTTTTCTGTAAGAAAGGGAAATTATGTGGAGAGAGTTAAGATAGCCAGTGTTGTGGCTTTTGCTCAGAAGTGACAATTATCACTGCTTTCATTTACTTACGCATTCATGAAGCGTTAGATAAATTCATCTGACCCTGGTTACCCCATTAGGAGCTATCATGATGCCATTTTGCAGAGAAGGACCCTGACGATCAGACTTGGGAAGTGACTTGCCCAGGGTCATGCAGGGTATGGCCAGCACATGGCAGGGTGGGGGTATAAACTTGAGCCTATCTCACCTGCCCCTCTACTCCCAGAGGTCACTACCATCCTCATGGCAATGTCACAAAGCCACTTACGTACACATCATCTGAGGCTGTGCAAAGTCAACATACCTGCTTCATTCTTTCTAAAACAACTACAAGGGAGGGGTCAGAGGACAGAACTAAATCGAGTTCAGTTCAATTTAAAACTTGGTCTAGTTCAACAATTTTTTCTCTTGCGATTTCTTAAATTCAGAGAGGTTTAGTCTCTTGGGCATAGTTGCTCAGTTTTTCGGTTTCTCTCCTCCCCCTGCTGCCTCCAAATATGAAGACTGGGGTAAAGGGGAGGAGATATGATGGCTGGTGCTGGGTGGCATCTGCTGGGGCCTCGGTGGCTTGGGCCTGTCACTGAGAACACGCACTTGCTCTTCCAGCTACACCCTGCAGCTGCAGAACAGGTCTGGTCTCCCTCATTGAGGTCGAGTGGGGACACCAGGCCAATATCACCTCCCATCAGCTCGTGTGGCTCTATTGAGCTCTCTACGGTTCTTATCTGCCCACCCTCTTTCTAGGACAGTGGTTCTCAACCTTGCTAATGCCTCTGCCCTTTAATACAGTCCCTGTGGGTTGTGACCACCGTCTAGGCCCTAGAGCTCCACTCCCACCTCCTCCCCACCTTGACTCTCAGTTCTCCATCTAGACCACACTGGACCTGAGGCACGCAGGGAAGCAGGACTGATGTCCAGGTGGTGCACATTTGAGATTAAAGTAACTCAGTGCGTCCATCCATGTTGGTAAGCAGCTGCTGCCCAAGCCCCTCCCATCCCCCTCCTCCACACCAACAGCCTCTGGAGTATCCCCAGGTCTCTCTCATGACAGAAACTGAAGGGTCACTGCCTGGGCAGCAGGTAGTCTCCAAGACTGCTCCGCCCACCTAGTATTTTAAATGTCACGGCCTCTGTCTCAGCCTGACCACACAGGATCCACTCTCTCACTTGGGCTGAGCCGAGGCTACCCAGAACAGCTGTCCTCTCTGAAGGTCTCAAAGGGCAGTGGACCAGAGTGTCTCTGCCCCTGGTGTTCCCTTCAATTTACCCAACATTCCTTTCCCTTTCTGGGCTCAGTCTCAGGCAGAATAGGCAGGAGATATAAGGGGTCTTCCCCAACTCCCATTCTCCCAAGTTCAAGTCTGCCAGAGAAGCCGGAAACACTTCATCCTTTCTTCCCCAGTCTTCGCTTCTGGAGTGGCTCCAGGACACAGTCCAGGCCCATGAGATGTAAGCGGCAGCCTGCTGAGGAGGTTCCAGGGAAAGTTTGGGCTTTCTGGATAAAAAGGAGAAGCACAGCCCATACCAACCCTGCCCTGCTCTTCCTGCTTTAAACAAGGACACAAGACCTGAAGTTTTGGCAGCCATATTGAGACCCAAGAGGTTCCCAGAGATGCTTGCCTGACATGGTGGCTGCTACCTCCACAGTTCTTTTAATTGCAGAAAAATAATTCCTTGCAAATTCAGTTTCCGGTTTTTTCAACCAAAGTGATCCTACTTGACCCAGAGAGACTAATCTGCTTGTCTACTGACTTCCCCTACTCTGCTCACATTCTCTCCCTGTTTTCCTGTCCCCCATAGATCCTTTAGCCTCTACCACTTCTTCCCACTTAGACAAAAACTGCTTTCATAAAATTCTTACTGTCGGGTGGCATCTGTGGCTCAGGGAGTAGGGCACCAGCCCCATATGCCGAGGGTGATGGGTTCAAGCCTCAGCCCTGGCCAAACTGCAACAAAAGATAAATAAATAAACCCTAAAAAAAGAAAAAAAATTCTTACTGTTCTGTCCACCTAGGCGGACTCTTGAAATGCTAAAGTAGGAGATAAAGGAACACAGAAGAATCCTTTTACACCCAACAGGGCCTGCCTTTCAAGTCAAAAGTACCAGGCATTCACTCTGAATGCCAGGAGCTTATTACATTAACTCTACTATTATTAACTCTTCTGTATGTTACTATTAACTCTACCTTTCTTTTTTTCATTCCTTCTATAAAGTGCTAATCTTCTGATATTATAATTGTCCCCATTTTATGGATGAGGAGACTGAGGAGGCTCACAGAGGTTGAGTAAGTTTTCCGGAGTTGGACAGAGAGAAAGTGATGTGGCCAGACCAGACCATTTACAATGGTCACTAATGCCCACTCTCCCCGATACCTCACCTCCCTCCGCAGACCATCCCTCCCACAGCCTAGACCTTGCCCTCTCCCCAAGCGGAGGGAAGCACAGATGAGTAAGCAGAAAGAAGAGACGGCTGAAAGCATTTGTTTTATTGAACAGCAAGTGTGCCAGCCCTAGAACCAGCTAATCATACTCATTCTTGGGGGCTCGTGGAGGCTTGAAAACATAGGAGAGACAGCACAAGGAAGCATCTGGGCACAGGTGCATATAGGATTCTTGCCTTGTGCAGTAAGTTCGGCAGATTCCTTGGCCCTTCCAACACCGTTTGAATTCACTTCTCCCTGTGCAGAGGAAGTTCACAGGTCACAGAATAGCCCATGGGTCACAGATTAGACCGCACTGGTCACAAGTTAGCTCTCTGGTCGTTTGTTAGACCACTAGTCATAGAGGAGGGTACTGGTTGCCAGTTGGACTACAGATTTTAGTCCCTGGATCATAGGTTAGGCCACTGGTTACAAGCTAGAGACTAATTTCATGTCCAGGTAAAATCACACACCAGGTATACTCTAAGAACTTTTCATAACAATGCTATATGAGGATAGTTAGTCTTACTGCTATCCCTGCTACACAGATAAGGACACTGAGGCTCAGCGAGGTTAATAAACTTACCCAAGGTCACACAGCCATTAAAGAACAGAATTAGGGGGCTGCGCCTATGGCTCAAAGGGGTAGGGCACTGGCCCCATATACTGGAGATGATGGGTTCAAACCCAGCCCCCGTCAAATATTTCAAAAAAAAAAGAAAAAGAACAGAACTAGGATTCAAACCCAGAAACTCTAACTCTAGAGCCCACACTCATAACCATCACACAAACTGTCCCTGACACACAGGAATCTGTATAATGTCAGAGAGGTCCAATGATGGGCCATGGAAAAGGTAAGAATTTGGGGGAACAAGTCCTGTACTTCTTCCAAAGGTCTTTGGTCACAAGATAGGATGAAGCCCCTCTTTTTGTGTATTCATTCAGCAAACATGAAGAATTGGAATTACCATCATGAACACTATGGCCATGGTTCATGCCCTGAAGGAGTTTCCAGCTGGCAGGAAAGGCAGATAAAAAGCAAGCAAATAAATACAATGAATCAATTTGGTGGTAAGTGCCAGGGTGGAAATGATCAGGGTACTGTGATGGCCAATTAAAGTGAATGAGGGAAAGTGAGGTAAGACCAGGACTACTTAGCCTTGTCTGTTACAGTGACATTTCTAGACGTATAACCTCAGATCAGCAGAAAGCAAGCAACTCAGAAGAACTAGAAGGGCTTCTCACATCTGGCTGGAGAGATCCTGTGTAATCCTCAAATGATGGATTTGGGATGCCTTGGGCCTATCCACAGGTTTTATTCAGCTCTGCTGAGCAACCCATGCTTCTGTCTTGCCAAGGCAAAGAATCTTAAAATGATACAGTGCTGGCCTCAAAATGTGCTTGAGGCAAAGAATCCACACTCTGAAGAGGGTGTGTAGTGTAATGGCTAACAGTGCTGTGAGCCCAGCTCAGAATTGCTGGGCCCAAATTTCAGCTCTGTCATTTCCCAGTTCAGTAAACTTGGCCTCAGATTCCTCATCTGAGCAACTGTCTTTCAGAAGACAGTGACGCGATCATTTTAGCACAGAACATGGTACATAGTAAATGCTCAGTAAGCAGGAGGTGAGGCAATCAGAATGACAGCCTAGACAGCTGGAGCAGCCAGGGCTTATTCGAGGTGAATCCTCCCACTTTCCGGATAAAGAAAGTAAGGGACTTACCCAAGCTCCCTTAGCCATTAACTGTACATCTGGACCCAAAATCCCACACATACACATGCCACTCTCGTCCCTTACCTTGTCTTCAATCTTCTTAGCACTTCCCACCACCTATGTCATGTGTTTACCTGTTTGTTTTCTATCTCCACCAACTAAAATGTCAGCTCCGTGAAAAAAGACCTTGTTTTCTTTCACGGCTAGATCACCAGCTATCATAATTGGGCCTGGCCCACACTAAATATTTTTCAAGTGAATGGTTATAGAGGGAGTCCCATTTTACAGATTAGGAAACTAAGGTGCAGGCTAATCTATTGATAGCAACTTGTTCTAAGCTGCCTGGCAAGTGGTGGGGCCAGAACTTAAATGTTGATTTAGGTCCCATTCTTTCACCAGGACTTGAGTCTTCATTTTTACACACAGACACACACACACACACATACACACAAACAGGTGATATTACCTGGTGGCACATGAGCCAGGACCAGGAGAGCCACAGTGAGCAGAAGCAACTGTGTCATGGCCACGGGGCTCCTGGGGTGGCTGCTGGGGAGAACAAAAGAGGAGAGGAACCCAGAGTACTGAGCCTTGCTGCATTCATCCAGGCCTTTATCAGGCTGCAAATAAAGGCAGGGCTGTGCGTAGCAGACCTAAGTGGGAGAATGAGACCATGTGGTCCCCAAGCTGCTTGGGATCTCAGCCAGCTATGTGGGATCTGGTCAGTCACAACCTCTGGAAGCTGTTAGCTCTGAAGCTGCGGGCAGGATTTTCTTTTCTTTCCTTTTCTCTCTCTCTCTCTCTTTCTTTTTAAGAGACAGAAGCTCACTTTGTTGCCCAGAATGAAGTACAGTGGCCTGATTTTTAGTTCACTATCACCTCAAGGTCCCAGGCTTAAGTGATCCTCCCACTTCAGCCTCCCGAAGAACAGGGACTAAAGGTGTGTGTCACTACAACCAGCTAATTTTTTTTTTTTTTTTCTGTAAAGATGGGTCTCACTCTGTTGCCCAAGCCAGTCTTGAACTCTTGGCCTTAAGTGACCTTCCCATCTCAGCCTCCCAAAGTGCTGGAGTTACAGGTGTGAACCACTGCACCTAGCCTAAGGGGCAGAAGTTTCTGAGACAATGCCTGTGGTCAGAAACTGGACATCTTCCCCACTTAGAGACTGAGAAAAGCCTTGACTTGAGAGAGATCTGGTTCAATCTCAGCATCTCCCCAAAATTGCTATGAAACTTTACACAAGTCATTTAAACTCTCCAAGCCCCAGGCTCTTGTCTATGAAATAATGACAAGCCTCCCTTGCAATGAAAAGCTAATAAATGAGGGTTTCCCTTCCTAATGCCAAGGAGATGGGAACAGAAATTACTGGTCCATTTAAACAAGCATGTACACATAATTACATCTACTCTAAAAACCTCATAGAGAGCAATGGCACCTATATCATTTAGTGGATTAAATAATATAGTGGCTTTCAAAGTGTGGTTCCCCAAATAGCAAACAGCAGCAGCACCTGGAACTTTCTGGAAATGCAAATTCTCTAGCTCTACCCCAAAGCTACCGAATCAAAAGCACTGGAGACAGGGTTCCAGCAAGCTGTAGCTTAGCATGCCCTCTTGGTGATTTTAATGTGCTGCACTGCTAAACTTTGAGAATCAGCTCAGCACCCATAGCTCAATAGTTAGGGTGCTGGCCACATACACCGAAGCTGGTGGGTTGGAACCCACCCCGGGCCTGCTAAACAACAATGACAACTCCAACAAAAAAATACCCAGGCACTGTGGCAGGCACCTGTAGTCCCAACTACTTGGGAGGCTGAGGCAAGAGAATTGCTTAAGCCCAAGAGTTGGAAGTTGCTGTGAGCTGTGATGCCACTGCACTCTACTGAGGGCAACATAGCGAGACTCTGTCTCAAAAATAAATAAAGTTTGAGAAGCATTTTGATAATAAATGTACAGTGACTAGAACAATATCCAGTACACAGGAATCTAAGGTGCACCATGAAAGATAAGTACAAGGAAGGGCATTCCAGGCAGAAGGAACAATGTGCCTGAAATAGTGGGCCATGGGCAGAGCAAAACTTGCTGTGAGGAGAGGTTGAAACGACCCTACAGAGGACATCATGGGCCTTGGATGCCAAGTTCAAGCTTTGGGCCTTTGATGCCCAAAGCCAGTTCAAGCCTTGGATGCCAAGTTCAAGCATTCGTATTATAGATAACCAATTTTTTTTTTTTTTTTTTTTTTGAGACAGAGCCTCAAGCTGTCCCCCTGGGTAGAGTGTCGTGGCATCTCAGCTCACAGCAACCTCCAACTCCTGGGCTCAAGCGAATCTCTTGCCTCCGCCTCCCAAGTAGCTGGGACCACAGGCGCCCGCCACAACGCCCGGCTATTTTTTGGTTGCAGCCGTCATTGTTGTTTGGCGGGTCCGGGCTGGGGATTCGAACCCGCCACCTTAGGTGTACGTGGCTGGCGCCTTAGCCGGTTGAGCTATAGGCGCTGAGCCGATAACCAAAAGTTTTTAAGCAAGGGTGTAACCTGTTCAGATTATGGTTTTAAATAAAGAAAGTGAAACCCAGAGAGGGGAGTTGACTTGCCTAAGTTCACACAGCAACCCAGTTGCAGAGCTGGGACAGGAAGCCAAGTCCTCTCACTCCCAGACAATGAAGGGTGCAGTGCCACTCACAGCCCACCTTGCAGGTGAGAAAGGAAAGCTCAGAGGGCCAAGCCACAGAAGGAAGGCAGCCAGGCATGAGAGGGTTCTGCATCTGCCCAAGACCTGTAGGGGCTGAGCCAGTCTCCCAGACTGTCGTGGGAGTTCTTCCAAGCTGGATCCCCTCAGCCATGACAATGAGCTCCACTGACAGACAGGTACAGCCTGGTCTCCACAGGCCCTACCCATGTACCCACCCCAATCCTCAGGACCTAAAGGAAGGCACCCTATTCAGAGAGCCTGGATCCTAGCCTACTGGACTGCCAACTTCTTTTCTCTTATAAGATCAGTCTCTTTCCTCCTCCTACATGCCTGGGAAGATTTTTTTTTTTAACAGAAGAAGCAGCCATGAGTTTGTAATAGAAAGGGACAGTACCAGCCCAATGCATAATTGCTAAGTCATGGAAGAAGTCCAAGTGCCCATCAACCTATGAATGGATTAATAAATTGTGGTATATGTACACCATGGAATATTAGGCAACCTTAAAGAAAGATGGAGACTTTACCTCTTACATGATTACATGGATGGAGCTGGAACATATTCTTCTTAGCAAAGTATCTCAAGAATGAAAGAAAAAGTATGCAATGTACTTAGACTTACTATGAAACCAATTTATAGCTTTCTTATGAAAACTATAACCCAGTTATAGCCCAAGAAGAAGGGGAAAGGGGAGAGGGAGGGGAGGGGGGCGGATGGGTGGAGGGAGGGCAATTGGTGGGACCACACCTACGGTGCATCTTACAAGGGTACATGCGAAATTTACTAGGTGTAGAATATAAATGTCTTAACACAATAACTAAGAAAATGCCATGAAGGCTATGTTAGCCAGTTTGATGAAAATATTTCAAATTGTGTATAAACCCAGCACATTGTACCCCATGCTTGCATTAATGTACACAGCTATGATTTAATTAAAGAGAGAGAGAGAGAGAGAAAGGGACAGTAGGCTGAAAGCAGAAACTTGAGTCTCAGGCCCAGCTAAGTCTCAGCTGGTGAATGAATGAATGAATGAATGATGCCAAAATAAGATCTTCAGAACTCTTCAATGCAGACTTCCTAAACTTCTCTCTTCCTCCAAGCTACTTCTCAGAATTAATTCTCCATCCAGAGCAGAGCAGAGCTTCTCAACAGTGGGGGCCACAAGCTGCCTGCATCAGGATCATTTGGGGGCAATTGTTTAAAAGGCAGACTCCCCACCCTGCTCCAGTACTGCAGAATCTGACTCTCTTGGAAGATGGGGGCCTGGGAATCTAAACATTCAACGAGTTCTCCAAGTGGCTTTTCTGAGGGTTGATGTTGGCGTGCCCACTGATGGAGTGGACGAGATGTGGACGCAAATGGCGATTCAGACCCTGGAATACAGCGCCCGTGTCCTTCCCCTCTCTGGTCCTGCACCCCCACTCACCCTGGTGCGGGCCTAGGACTCAGGTCAGCTAAGCTCTATATACTCTTAGAAAAGTCAACGAGCGGCCAAGGCCTTGGGGCGGGGACCCCGGGGCTGCCCTAATGGGGCGGGGCTGAATGGGGCGGGGTCGCGGCTCCTCCCCTGGCCCGGGCTGCGCCGCGGGACCGGCCTAAGGGGCTGCGCGCCGAGGCGGCTGGTACTGTCCGGAGCACCCAGCAGCCGAGGCGGCGGAGAACCCTGGACCCTCCTCACGCCCAGGTAAAGCTCCGCGCAACTTGCCGCCAACTCGTTCAAGTTGGATCGGAGTTCGTCGGCGCCTGCATGGGGGTTCTGCCGCGCAGGCAGAGTCAGGGAGGCCTCGAAACAGCGTCCCGAGGGTGAGGGTCTTCAGACCTGGGGCCCGGAGTTTGGATAGTCCTGGAGAAGGAAGTCTGTCCCTGGCCTCGAGGACTCTTACCTGGGATTCTGGGCTGGAAAAGCCGGGACCCAGACTCCAGGAATGCGTTCCTTGACCCCATGGTCTCCCCTCCCCGTCCCCTGACTGGACCCTTTGCTGTCACCAAATCTGGGCCGGCCTGGCCGGCAGCTCCTGCCCCCAAAAGCAGCTGGAGGCCATAGAGCCAGCCGCTCCTGAATTTTTCACGCAGGGGGCGGGCCGGACACGCCGTTCCCATAGCACCAGGGCACTCGGGTTACAGGCAGAGGAAACCCCCAGTCCCCCATCGCCCTCTGGAGTACCAACCCACGCAGTCCCGCCTCTTCTCCAGACCCCATGGGATTGGGCAGTAGAAGAAAATGGGGGGGTGCTCAATTCTCTGTACCCCCAACCCAGGACCTTGTGAAAGGCGTGGGGAAGGGGAGGAGGCGGCAATTCAGATACCTTTCATAATGAGGGTCTGCAGAATGGGAGGGGGGCAGTTCTGAATACAAGAGGAGGTGTGCAAATGTGGACAGCCCCCCTCGCAGCTGCCCTTCTGCCTTTCTGTGTTATCCAGGCCTGGGCCATCCTTAGGCATGGGAAATGGCCTCTGGCTGTGCGTGCCCGTGTGTTCACAGCCTGCATGTTCATCCCTTCCAGCGGACCCAGGTTTACCCTGAACCTGAAGCCAGAAAGCCCCCACCCCAAGGAGCTGAGGTGCCTCCCCCTCCCATTTGAACAAGAAAGGGCTCTGGAAGAAGCCATTTCAGCAGCTCATCAGGACCCTTTAGAAGAAGGAGCTCAGAGCAACCAGCTCACCACCCATTCCCCCTTCTCAAGGAAAAAAGGAAGGAGGAAAAAAAGGAAGGAAGGAAGAAGCAAAGCCCCTTCTACCAATCATGACACTAAACACCCAGCAGGAAGCAAAGACCTCCCTGCGCCGTAGAGCCAGCACTCCTCTGCCGCTCTCCCGGGGCTGCCAGCCTGGCCTGAGCACAGCACCCTCCACTCAGTCCCACCATCCCCGGCTGGGCCAGTCAGCCTCCCTCAACCCTCCCGTCCAGAAACCTTCAACTGCCCCTGATGATTGGTCCTCTGAATCCAGCGACTCTGAAGGCTCCTGGGAGGCCCTCTACCGTGTGGTGCTGCTTGGAGATCCTGGTGTAGGGAAGACCAGCCTGGCCAGCCTCTTTGCAGGAAAGCAAGAAAGGGACCTCCATGAGCAGCTGGGAGGTAGGGGCCAAAGGAGTGGGCTGGGCTGGGCTGGGAGGCGGCCAAAGGAGTGAAAGCCCTGTCACTCGGGGCTCAGGGCTGCCAAGAGCAGCTGTGCAAGCCAAGCACTGTTCAACTCTAAGGGGAATCACCCATACACTGTGAAGTGAATGAAGCCTCTCAAGAGTGGTTCAGGGCACAGCATACATAATGGTGGGAAATTCCTTGAATAGAATGAGAATTTTGCCAATTTCTCATAGATGAAAGGTGTATGATTCATCTCCATGTCATAGTGAAAGCAATTCCAAATTCCCTAAGTGTCCAGAGATGGTGGACTTCTTTCAACCCAGCTCACAAACCCCCAACCCCCTGACTCTCAGATCCTCCCAGTCCTCTAGGCACTCACCCGTGGCCACCATCAGCTACAGCAAAACCAAGATCTGCCCCAGAATGGAGACTCTCAGACCCCAACTTCTGGGCCTTGGTTTGCTTTATTTCCAAGAAATGCAGTGAGCTGAGAGGAATCAGGGGCCCCAAGATGATGGAGTATAGGAACAGAAAAAGATGTGGGTAGTCTCCTAAAAGACTGGCTGGGAGGACAAGGGATGAGGGGGAAGGAGTGTTGGTGAAAAGTAGAGAGAAGGTGGGGACACTCTGGCCAGGCTCTTCTCCAGCCTTGACCCTTCTTCCAACAGTGAGAACACATATGTGTTTCAGATGGGGAGACTGAGGCTCAGTGAGGATAAGATAACCTGCCTGAAAGCATATCTAAGCCAGAGATAGAGCAGGACTGGGAGAATTTCCAGCCCTACTCTAACCCTACCACCCTATGCTTATTCAGTCAACAAAACCAACTTTCTAGCACCCACTATATGCAAGGTCCTATGCTGGCAGCTGGGGAGACCTGGGGTCCTCATGGAGTTTCTTGACCTACCAGGAGAGACAGACATCAACCAAGTGTGGTGAATACTTCCAAGGAGAAGTAGAGGGAGTGATGTGATCAGAAAGGGGAGTTAGGGAACCCAACACCTTTTCCAGGCCTTCCCCTCCTCCCTGAGATCCAGCTCTTTCCTCAGTTGCAGAAGATGTATATGAGAGGACCCTCACGGTGGATGGAGAGGACACCACACTGGTAGTCGTGGACACCTGGGAGGCCGAGAGACTGGTATGGCACTGCAAGCAGGATTTGGGGAGAGGGGTGCTTAGCCTAACACCAGACTCCTCCTTGTCCCCTTCTGGGACTCCACAGAGTAGGGACAGGATGAGAGCCATCCTCAGCAACCCTCCAAAACCCACAGCTCCTAAGCAGCCTTTCCAATCAAAATCAGAAGACCCTCCTGACCCTGACCCCTTTTCTCACTCCACTAATTCCCCAGCAGCTAACATAGGGCATGCTGCTCCCCTGCAGACCTCCCCATCACTAATACCTCCCTCATCCCACCCCACCCACCCACATTGTACAGAAGAAGGAATGCTGGATTTGACACCAAAATACCCAAAGCTCAACCCCCTGTCTTTTTCTTACTAGTTGTGTAGCTTTTGCAACTGATCAGTTTTGTCATCTGATCAATGGGTCAGTCATTCCTGCCTTTCTTATCAGCTGTTTTTTGTTGTTGTTGTTGTTTTTCTGAGACAGAGTCTCAAGCTGTCACCCTAGATAGAGTGCTGTGGTGACACAGCTCACAGCAACCTCAAACTCTTGGGCTTAAGCGATTCTCTTGCCTCAGCCCCTCAAGTAGCTGGGACTACTGCAGGCGCCCACCACAACCCTCGGCTATTTTTTTTCTTTTTGGTTATAGGTGTCATTGTTGTTTGGCTGGCCCAGTCTGGATTCGAACCCACCAGCTCCCATGTATGTGGCTAGCACCCTAGCTGCTTGAGCGACAGGCACTGAGCCTTATCAGCTGTTTTTTAAAAGTTCTTATGTAGTTTCAGAGGTGAGCCCAGTCTGGAACATGAAAAAGTCCTGAACAGGGGTGAAGAATTGTAAGATAATTCTTACAATTGTAATTCTTTTTAGTTATAAAAATTATAGAATTATATAATTCTTTTTAGTTATAATTTGGTAGCTAATGAAAAAGGAAACCAAGGCTCAGCGCCTATAGCTCAACCGGCTAAGGCGCCAGCCACGTACACCTAAGGTGGCGGGTTCGAATCCCCAGCCCGGACCCGCCAAACAACAATGACG